TGGCAATCTTTTCAAATGCAGACAAAAAGTCGGTAGAGTGGGACCCCGATCTCATATTGTAATCTCAGGGGGATGATTTGGACCATCTCCCTTATGCTTGTTTGCTTGTCTGCCTGCGCCTCTTACATCTGCCTGCCTCACTTAGTCTTGACTCTCATACCTTCTGCCTGTTGCCCCTAGGCTTACGTCTGCATTTCTATCTCACGTCTGCGTGCCTGTTCTACGATTCTCTGCCTTACATACCTATTCTACGCTGCTCTGCCTTACATACAACAAGAGAATAGTAACTTTGTACACAATATAACTTCAAAGAAATTTTCCAGACGACTCTCCGCTTTTTAGCGGAAAACGAAACACTTTTCAGCGAATTTTCCGCTGTTTAAGCGGCAAGCGAAGCGAACCGCCGCTTCTGGCCGCTGATAATAGCGCGCTGAATTCTGGATATTTTTTGACTCGGGACAATCAGCGAAGAGCGAAGCGGCCTTCTCGCTGCTAATAGCTCAGCGGAGCGATCCCCAAACCGCTGCGCTTCCGCTACGCTACCCGCTTGTTGTAGCGAAGCTGTTGCGGTGTTGACTCAGGGACTAGCTTGAACTACCAACAACTATCCTTCTTGGGCTTTAATTGAAACCCAAAAGGTTTCCAGATTTTCTTGGACAGAAGGGTTCCTGGAAAAGTGACCTGAGGTGCAAGGAAGGAAAGCACACTTATTATAAGATAAATGAGGTTCCTGAAGGATAAGGTTCATGAGAGATGACAATAATATTTCTCTGAATGTGAGAAAAATTTATCTATGTACAACTGCAGGTAAAAGCTGTGGTAGGAGAAAGTGTGGAACATGCATGAGAGAAACAAATGAAAAAGAAAGAATGTGATAGATGATATTCCAATGGATTATCTTGAATGGATTTTGTGATAGAGGAACAATGTTTCAGTAAAAAATTTCAATGCAAAACATTTGGATCTTATGGAGTGTAAGATATGGATTCTGGAACTATCTGATGTATTACTTTCAAAACATAAAAATTGTGGAACAGTGAACCTGAAATTCATTTGAAGATTCTTGAGCCAAAATCAAAGGAGTAATAAATGCTTGCAAGCATGCTATAGTAAAAGATCAAGAAAAGAGTAGTGGCTTTATACAATCTCTTTTTCTGTTCCCAAATCAAGTCTGGGTTGATTTTACTGTCTAATTCTATCACAGAGTTTCCTTCTATTTCACCTGCAGTTCCTTTTGCAAGAGATTGTTTCCCTTTTAATTCTTGTTTGTTCTCATCCACAATCACTCCTGTGTTAATATCTGAAGAACATGGAAAATCATCTTCAGTAGACTTATTTCTTTGACTCAAGCCAGAAATGCCTTCCTCTTTCTTTCCTAGAGTTGTGGGTCTGTTGAAATTTTGCTTTGCACTCTACAAAGAATCACAATTAAAACGTTGGTTCACTAATTCATCTATACAGGAAATGTTTGAATGATGAATCTCAAGATGTTGCTCACATGATAAGTATTATAATCCAATTCTTCTGTTGATCTCTCAATTTCTTTCACAAGGGAACTATCAGCTGGAATTTCATGGTCCATGTTTGATGCCTCTGAAAATCTGGGAGGACCTTCTTTATGTTCATGGACCACTAATCTTGATCCATCAATTGATTCTGAAGCAAAACATCTTCCAAGAAGCTATTCAAACACCCATATTTGTTAGTTATAGGAACCTCCACTAAACATATAACTGGGAATGAAATGACTCAACAACTAGGGCTGTCAGCAACTTGTAAAACATGTGGAAAAATATGGATTTGATTAAGAAAGATTGAACCAAGTGTGGAAATTGGGATTGAAAGGAGATTGTGTGATGCAGTCAAAATAAAACATTCAGGTATTGTTTCTATGTACCAGAAATGAAAACTTTGTGGTTCTTTGCAGAAAAAAAAATGTGAAACTGTTTGTGATTTATATATTATCATCAATTAGCTATTCAAACACAAATATTTTTCAGTCAGAGGAACCTTAATAAAAAATACAACTAAGTATGAAATATATCAACAACTAAGGCTATTAGAAACTTGTAAAACATATTGAAACATATAATTTACATTAATTACATATTTTCAGGCCTTCAAAAGCTTCAAACTTGTGTTCAAATTCCTCAGCAAGACATGTAGCAACACTGAAACAGATATGGTATCTGCCATGTATGTGCCATGTATCACTCTATGTATCTGCCATGTATCACTCCATGTATCTGAGCCCCCCCCCCAAAAAAAAAAAAAAAATCTGTCCAATGTTCTTTTATTTGCAAGGGGATGCAACAAATTTGGTTTTTGGCCATTTAGCTTTGCAGAATTCTCCATTATACACACAGTGTACTGTATCTGTTACAGTGTTGCATGTAGCATCATTCCCTATGGTAAATTGCTTGTCAGCACTGGTCTCTTATGTGACCAAGTGCTGATAGGGCTTTGGTTCACGCTTTTGATCAGAGGAGTCATTAGTGGAATAGAACCTCACCTCAACACACTTAACAGTGGAGTGGTTTGATACTTAGAAATATAAAGAACAACAGTAGAATGAGATTCACTATGTCTGAGCAATGAGGACAGTTGCTGATGGTATAAAACAATCCTGTCCCGCCTGCAAAATTCAAAATTGACACTTGGGGCCTATGCTGGGGGGGGGGGGAATATACCCTCACACTCAATTTTATTGTGGTTTTAAACTCATACACATGTGTAGAGCTCAGGATTTTAACCACTAAGCCTCTGCATCAGTGCTTCTTAATTTTTTCTGCTGTATGCATGTATTCAGATATGCCTAAATCCATAACTATGCGGTTTGACCATGTATGGTCATGGGGTTATACCTTGTAGTCTCCTTTATCATGCCTGTAGCATATTCTATGCATTGGGGCATGCTCTACAGTATTGACAGTGGGCCGCTATGCTACACTACACTATTTCACCACTAACTGTTAGCATAGTGGACTATTTTTTTTTCTGGAAATTCTGTAGTTTTAGCTCATGCTAAACCCCACTACACTAACTGTTAGCGTAGTGTAAATCTTTCTCTCAAATTTTTTGTTAGTGTTACCTTCAAAAAATCTCAGTTAAACTAACAGGTAGTGTAACTTTTTTGCGCTAACAAATTTTTGACAGTCAGATAGTGTAACCGATTTGATGCTAACATTTAGCGCAAATTATACCAAATTTAAGCTGCACTACACTACACTAGGGATGATAATTGGGTGGGTTTGGGCCGCCCACAGGCTAGCCCGGCTCTACCCGCAACTTAATTGGGCAGGCCAGGCCGGCTAAAAACATGA